ACCCACCCCCCCACCCACCCACGCACGCACGCACGCACGCACGCACGCACGCACGCACGCCTAGCTACTCTTTATATCTCTCTCTGCTTCTGCCTCTTTCCGGAGCTCAATAGATTCAATAGATCCCGTGTTTCCGGCCTGCGCCCGGGCCTCCGTGTGACTTTGCAGATGCCTCACAGTACAAATCTCGACCAACGCCATCACGACTGCGACTACATGCTTGTTGCGGGGCTACAAAGCAGCAATTCTCGACATCTCCTGTTTCGCAAGGTCTGGGTTCGAGAAACATCCAGCGGCCTGGATCGACTCTATCTCGATGCTGAGCTGGCCCAATGACGCGCGCCTCTCCCAAACATTCAACCAAAATGCCTTTAGAAGGATGGGACTCGTAGGTCATAGCTTGGAGATGCTTGGAGAAGAGCCGGGCAGTCAGTCTGCTTTACGTGCATCCGTGACCTCCTACGCGATTCTGGGTGCGGACGCTTTAGCATTCGGTTTTGCGCGTCTGGGCCACTAGTGCGGAAAGACCTGGAGCTGATAAAGCTCCTGCACGCCATTAGCTTGATGCTGTCCGAGCTGCTGCTCGTGCACCGCTTGCAGCAACCAGTTCACCTCAAGCTGCATTCAGGGCTTCGCTTCAATGTAAGGTTGGAGCATGGAGTGCCATAGCCTGAGAATCACAATGCTGGAATCCTGCAGTTGATTGCCACCTGTGTGTAGAATCGGGTAGCTGTTGTCTGCCAGACAACGATCCACGCCTCGTTGAAACCCTGCAGCCTTAAGCATGTCCCCCTCGCAAGATTCCGGGTCTTTCGTGCGCAACAAATTCCCAGGCCCAGGAAATGTGCCAGGGCTAAACTCCAGCATTCCAATGCAGTCCCTGCAGCCTGAATTCACAGCGACGCAGCATCACTATTCCATGCCGGACGTGCTTATGCTTGTGCCGCCCTCTTGAGACAACGTAGCCACCCTGGTCTTCTAGACCTGCAGCCGTCCAGGTGCACAGGACCTTTTCTATCTGACGACAACGCAGTCGGTGCTTCCCATCCCTTTACTGGTCACCTTCAAAATTGACACAAGGTTCACTTCCCACTCGCTGCTGGTCCAAGCCGCAGTTTCCAGAAGTGGTGCAGACTGAAGTGACAGGTGCCTGGGCACTTTCAGTTCAGCTTCCCGCACCTTGTGTGCCCTACCAACATTCCCAGAACACAATCTCCACGACTTGGGCTGGCTTTGTCGTGGACTGCCAGGCTGCTGGTCCCGAGCCTTTGGCGATTCTTCACGGGTCTGAAAGCTCCCCATGTTCTTCCGCAAGCATAATCTTCAATCCCTGGAGTTCAGCAATGCTCCGCAGTCTATAGCCGAAGTGCGAAGCGTCAAGCGTGAGCCCGTGGGGCGGCTCAGTGGCACTTTGCCTCCAAAGAAAGACGATGGGGTACAGACTCTCCTCTTTAGCTTGAGGCCCGAGGTCCCAAAACACCGCACAAGAGATCGCGACTACCCTCAAGGAGCTCTTGGCTTGTCCAAAAAAGAACTGGTCGATTTCTGGTTCATGTTGCAATACATTTCTGGTGTCTTGATCCTGGCATCTCCGATAGCAGGCCGACCCCCCGACACCACGATGCTGGTGCGATCATCTACGAATCTTCGAGATGTTCACGGACCCAGGTGCAAAGCCCGAGGCAGTTCTCAGCAGAAACATGCATCAAGAGTTCGTGCCACGGCTCAAGAGTTTGGGCTTACATCACGGTTCTGTTGAGACCCGAGGCCGGGGCATGACTCCCCGCAAGCTTCGTGTGGAGTCGCCTTAGCAACAGGCCGGCTCTATTGAGCCCTTCTGACGCTCTCTGACTGCCGGAGGAATTTCTGCGCTCACCTACCAGTGCCAGCAACAAGAACACTTTGCAGGCCTCAGCAGGATCACGTTCCACACACCGCCCACACCCAACACAACAGGCAGCCGCTGGGAAATGACGCAAAACTTGCAGTAACTGCCTTTCAAAGCCGTGTGGACTTGCAGACATGTGGGGAGCTTGCACAACCTTGTCTCCAAACCGCCGTCCATCACGAAGCCAAGCCTTTCTAAGCACCCCGCTTGACCTCATCCAGAGCGTGTGCGAGCGCGGAGCAGAACCAAACAGCAGCAGGTGGGCAAAGCTTACGACGAAGGTTTGTGGGGCGCACGGCACTACCAGACAGGCATTAAGTCATTAGTCCCTCTAGTTACTCTAGTTTTCTGCAGGGGTTCTCATGTTCGCGCTGAGTCCAAGAGACATCTGACACCTAAGCCTAAGCAGAAATTTGACCTGCTCTTGGACGAACTTCCTTATATTGACATATTTCGATCGACCCGTCTGCCGGGCATCAAGCCCGACAAAACCCACAAGCACCGTCTCAAGAACCCTTCCCTCAAAGTAAGGTTCAACGCCCCAACCTCAAAAGCCACACCCAGTGCATGGGAAAGACTATTGTATCTGAAGCCACCTGTGACAAAGACCAACTCTTCGGCGCGCCGGCTTTACATGTTTCGCTGTCGCATTTAAACCGACAGCCGCAACTGGCTGCAGTTGACCAATGTTCGATGCCAGCAACAAGAGTCAACAAGAGCAAGGTCTCGCACATTAGCTCAACTTCCCACCGCAAACAAATTGGAACCATGGAGTCAACAAGGATCCTGCGGAGTGAGGGGAAGGCTGGTATTCTTATATCTAGCGTAGCTTGACTGCAGCCTCCCACTACCAGCATCTCTGAAGACTAGGACCCAGCGCCAGCAACGAGGCACGCAGCGTCCGCTGCGCGACCAAATCCGCAGCCAAGCGCCGGCCTTGGCTCCGGCAGTGGCAGGTTGGTGGGCGATGCCACGTCTCCCTCAAAACCGCTGCAACACAAGCCTGAACAAGGCCTGCTCACCCCCCACTCCCACCCCCCAAACTTCACATACCATCATCAAACTGCGAGTCGTCCCACCTGCACAACCCACAGAGAGTCCTTTCCTTCATCCCGAAAGCGCACAACGCGTCCATCAATGCCAACGAAACCAAGTTGCGCTCCGTTTCCAGTTCCTGCAGCCGCTGGAGGGCCTCAATTTAATGGCAGTCGGAGTCCATCACCACAAAGCATTCGGAGAAGGATCCATGAGGCCTCCCCTCAAACATGCAATGCTTCGCCGGTCGGCAGTGTGCCCGCCTCCTCTGCCGAAGCCGCTTGCTGGTAGCCTGCGAGGCACTTGCCCAAGATTTGATGCGAACACACTGAACAACTACAATCAAGAGTGCCTCGCGTACTTTGGTGACACCATATGACTTCATTGTTGGGAACACTGCGTCAGATCATGATGCTTACTTCGCCGTATGTCAAAGTAAAATTACACCCTTAACAGGCGCACAAAGATGCAGCCCACCACTAGTCACTGGCCAAACGGATCAGGCGTGGTAAACGCTTACTTATATCAGCTTATATCTCGTGGAAGTCCCATGCCTCCAGATATTTCTGACCTCATCGCCAGGTCGTGGCCATCAAGACGCAAGGGGTCTCATGAAGAGATTGCTTCTGCATCTTGGGTCCTCTTCCCGTTTTACAGAGACTCGGGTTTGCGGCGGTTGGTTTAGGGAGGAAAACCTCGACGAGCGTTGGGTTGCCGAAACGACGCAGGGACCTACCTGTGGCTCCCTGTTCCACCAGCTGCTCCCAGAGAACCGAGCTCCAAAGTAGGCCCTACATCAGTGTCAGCCCGCGGCGTACTACCCTCACGGTTGAACCCCGGTGGATCAATGGGGGCGACAAGATGTAGAGAAGCCTCTCCTCCTTTCGCGTAGACCCGGAAATTTGCTGCTGAGTATTTCTGGTTCGGAGGGCACTGTTTGTTGTCAGTCCCTGGTAGTACAAGGGCAGTCCTGCCTGCACGTTGGCCCAAAACAGCCTGAAGCCGAACCAGGAATTGCGAGCACGTTTTCACAGGGAGCCCCGGAATTGATTCGCAGTGACCTTGTGCACCGCTTCTCATTGATCGAGGACTTGGAGGCGCATCCTTGAAATTGGGCTTGCGTATGCTCACGCCACGTCAAGCATGGACGCCCAGACCAGCTGCCTACCTCTCCCAGCTTTCGGGCCTTGAAGATTGCACACGATTCGGGCTCATGTAACTGTACCGGTGCACCGGATCATCCGGATAACGTGATGCAATGTAAAGGTCTGCACTGGGGGCAGGGGGCTTTGTAAGCCACTGCGATGTTGCTCGGATCAAAGGCCACGTGCGTTACATCTGCATTTGCAAACGAGAACAGTTGCCATCCTCCAAGCCAAGGCACCATACCCTATCATGAAAGGCTCTCGCTTCACGGGAGTGCCTGCAAGGACCCGGACGACGATTCGAAGCCAACTAGAAGAAGGGCTACGCAGTATGTAGGCTCAGGCCCAAACAGCCCCCAGCCTGCACAACACGCCTTGAGAGGCATGTTCCGGGAAACAGCAAATACAACTGCGATGAAGATATATACAACGAGGTGTGACACAAGCGACTCGATCACTTTTTGCCTCAGGCGTCTCAGATCACGACCTCGACCGACCTCGTCATCCCAAGCTTCTTTCTGGCCTCTTCAAGAATGGCATCATCGCTTGGCGTTTTGTTGACCTTAGCTGGTGGCGTCGAGCTCTGTCGAACATCTGCAAGCCTACCCAGTATCAAATTTGGATTCGGGACGGAAATATCTAGCTGAATCCAGCTGATATCAGGAGGTGGCTTGGGCTTCGGTCGGATGGGCGGGGGATGGGGTCATACTAGTGAACACATACTTATAAATACCAACCATCATAATTCTGGAGTTAGGTCGTTCTTGAAGTGATTTTGCAAGTTGGGTAAGTGAAATTGTCGAACGTAGTTTTAGGCCGCAAGCCCCAAACCCGTAACTGAGCCGCAATTCAGCCCTTTTCTCCGCCATGGACTCCATGCTTTGAACCCCACTCCTCGCAGTACCTACTAGTAGAATCTAGTAGACCTGCGTTTGTGCTCGTGTCAGTACTGCTGATAGTAGCACTACTCCTGACCACCCTGATAGTGGCCACTAATTACTAATTTGAATCAAAGGCAGTTCTGGTTGTTGATCCGGTCGTGGTTGTCCCTTCAATATACGCTCAAATAATTACAGTCCCGCAACCGCATTAAATATCTTGTTGCTTTTTGATAGATGGGAAGGGATTACGAGCACGGAATTCAGATCTGCAGATGTATACCAGTACAAAAGGAGAAACTGCAGAAACAAAGACACAGCCCACATACCAATATGCCGAGCTTGCAGAGTAATTACTAACCCGCATGTAGCGCTGGCTGAATCTCGAGTTCTTGGAACTTGCAAAGATAACGGAGCTGCTGCCCAACTACCGTCCCACCAAAGCCACCACAGCCAGCATCCAACTTCCCGGAGGGCGTAAAGTAGCGATTGTCATGCCTGGGCTGCCGATTGTAATACATCGACACAGTGATATGGTTGCCCAAGTCCCGGCCACAACGGCAAAACCTGAGCAATGCCGCACGCCAAGGTGCATGCGGTTGCCCAGGCATGTGCCCACGCTGTCCGAGGTCATGACAACGAAATTTCCTTGGCCACATGCATTCGGAGATTCGGGATCCAGTTAATGGCGCAGTGTCTGGTGACAAAAAACATGCTACCAAGGGCCACATGTGTAGTTGTGGACTTGCTGCATGCTGCTTAGCCCACGAAGGTGCAAACAAGAATCGAACACACATTCTGGAGACTTATCGAACCTCATCTTAAATGCTACAATGATCTCTACTTGCAGCATCTAATGCGACAAGGACCTGCCTACCTGCAGTGCATCCATACAAGCCAGAACACGGGCATACATACAAACGCATTCAACAACACATACGCGCATGCACACATATACAAATATACATGTGTATATATATATATATATACATATATGTAGGTATGTATGTATGTATATATGCATACATACATAAATGCATACGTACATACGTACATACGTACATACGTACATACGTACATACATACATACATTATACATACATACATACATACATACATACATACATACATACATACCTGCATGCAGGCATGCATGCATGCATGCATGCATGCACACACGTCCCTACACACATACGTCCGTGCATACCTTGGGATGCGTGCATGCATGGGTGCATGCATGCCTTGGATATTTGCCGTTAACTAGCAGAAACCCGCCCCGACATCGTGACACAAACCAGCTGGTTCCTGTTACAGGGTGCGGACAGCCCCTTGTAACAGGAACTGCGGCCCCAGGTGCTGGTGCTGGAGCTGCTGGTGGTGCCAGTGCCGGTGCCAGTGCTGCTGGTGCTGGTGGCGGTGGTGGTGGTGGTGGTGGTGGTGCCGGCGGTGGTGAGTGTTTCCGTGGCATTGCTGCCGTTCGCATTAGTGGTGTTGCCTCTGAAGTTCTTTGTGTTGGGGACCCCCTCGCTGCTGTATGGTTGTTGTTGCTGGTCGTCTAACATCACATGCAATTCCAGTAGTTTGGCTTAAACTCTCACCTAAAGGCCTGCAGCAACCAAGCAGCCAAAGAAGTAGTCTTCGTGGCCCGCAATGGTCTCACAAACGCCCAAGGCGTGATCCACCTTGGCTATGTGGCTGCTGACTGCGCAAGTCGGTACGGCTAAGTGCCGCCCGGGCCACATATGCATCCACATTGTCATAATGGTGGTTGTCATGTCCACCAAAATCGTTCTTCATTGCCTGGAGAACTGAGGCGGGAGCTTCAAGCTTTAACAGGAGTTCCACGTGAAGGCCTGGCCTGGCCCCCGTAGACCAGGAAGTTGTCATGGGTTTTGTAGTAGCAGCTGCCATCATCATTGTCCACGTCCTCCTGGCAGGAGGAATTTAAATCTGTGCTTGCCAACGAAAAGACTTGGGGGCCAATATTCCATCGACGATTCTTTGGGGAAGTCTTTGCCGACTGTCAGCAAAAGTCACGTCCACGTCTTCACACTCCGAGCCCTCTCCAGCGAGCCTCAGGAGTTTTTTCGGAGACCAGTGTGCTCGGATCCTAAACTGGTCGCGAACATGTTCAGTCCGGCGCCATTGCGAAAATGCGCGAATGTGCCCCCCCCCCCCACCCCCCCCACCCCTCCCTTAATTTTCCCCACACCCCAGCCCCCCCCCCCACCCCCTCGCTTGGCTCCATTCGGACTGAAACGGATAACAGAGGAATGCAACAAACCATAAACACAGCTTAGAGATAGCATGAATGAAAGCTTCATCAGTGCGATGCGCCCATGTGACAGCAGCAGGAAGGGATAATCCTTTTCACGCTGCGCGGCCCTGTCTGTGGCATGATCCTTCAAGGAATCCGCCGAGGCCTCCAGCCCAGGCGTGAAGTACCACCCCCCCGCCCAGCTTCGCCTGATTTTACCTCACGTGTCGGCCTTTGTCTGCTGGACCCCCCTGAATTTCCCCCCACCTCCACCCCCACCCCAACCCCCCCCCCGCCCCTTCCCCACACCCCCAACCCTCCCCCACCCCGCTGGATGATCGAGGCTGCACGAGCCCCCCACCTGATCCTCCTTGCTGCAGGCACCCCCCCCCCCCCTACCCCCGCCCCTACTCCCCCCACCCCCTACCCCCCTGCCCCTTCCTCTCTTAAGGTAACAGCAAGGTAACGTTTGAAGAGGCCGTTGGTGCAGTGGTAACTCGTTCGACCTTAACGCCCTCACTTTTTGACGTTTTTTGGGCCCTTTCCCTTCTCCCCCCCTCCTCTCCTACCCCCCTCCCCTCCCGCGCCCCTTGCAGACATGCACCAACGCTACCGACGTGTCTACCGTGCCCTCTGCCCCTCAGCAGCCGAGGCGGGCGGCGTAGCGTTAAAATTATGATGGTAGTCCCGGTTATCCTGCGATGTCTGCCGCTCGTTTGCCAGAATGCAGCTTCAAAATCTGAGGGCAAGGGTTAGGATGGCTTGGTGTCTCGAAAGGGTTGAGGGCTTGCAATGTTGTAGGGTTACGTGGTAGCCGCCTCCGACAGAAGCTAAAGGGCGCGTAATTAAGGCTTAGGGTTTCGTGTAGGTTTGTAGGGCACACTGTTGCATCGAGGAATTACTTTCGTCAGGCCATCACTTTTCGCGCTAAAGGTCTACATAACTGTCACATGATCTCCTACCATGTTACAAGTTGAGTCGCTTGGGGAAAAACGAAACCCAAATCTCCCTCAAGGATATCTTCTCCGCATCTCTCTCACCTTTTAATCCATGACCGAACATGGTCCCGAGCAAAAGCTCGAACTGCACAATAAACTGGCAGTAAATCTCGAAAACTGCAATCTCCAACAAGGTCTGCATCCGAGTTCTGAAGCCCCAACCGAACATTCAGAGTTGCAAAGCTGCCCCAGCATTCTGCGGGATGGTAACAAGCCAGGCCATCTAAGACGACACTGATTTTAATCCCGAAGCACCAACGGGAACCATCAGCCCCACGGATACATGTAGCCGGGTTTACTTCCCTGGAAAGCGTCGGGGGGGATCTGCCCTGTCAGCCGGTTGGAATGCAGCCGCAGATGGACAAGAGAGCGCAGCCGCCTGCACACTCTAGGATTGAAGAAGGGTCCAGGGTTCAGGGTTAAGGGGCTCAGGGACAAGGTTGTACACCGTATTCGTTTGGCCTGCCGTGCCGAGATGCCTTGGACCTTCTACCAAGGGCATCATCATGTTGCCGCAAATATGATCAACTGAAATTTGCATACAATGGAATTCGCGATGGGTGGCTTGTACGCAAAGCGCGGGCACTCTTTCTGAGGTGTATCGTCTTGAGGCGACGGAACATCTGCTCTTCGTTGCTCCATTTTCTCGGCCTGGGGAATCGTTATCTTGCCTCTCTCTCGAATACTGTCTTTGCATGTCCAGTCTGGGGTCCTCGCGATGGCCAGAAATTCCGACGCGCAGAAGCCCCAAGCCCAAAACATTCATACTAGCCTGGGTATTACCTGAAGAGCCCCAAATATGGATTGAAAGGGGCAACTACCTCTGCAATTAGGCGCTTGAAGGAAAATCAAATTCTCCCAAAGTGGCAATTACCAAGCAATCACGATTGTAGTGATGCATTGGAAGTATTGAAAAAAGCGCTCTGCGGAGAAGCAACGACATGCCTTTTAACGTCTAGCAAGGCAAGAGAACGCAAGAGATGATTAACGTCGAATACAAAGCAAAACCGGGAGGAATAGAAGCCCCTTCCGCCCAGATGCGCAAGCTCCGGTGGAATCGGCCCATCGAACCTGTAGAGACGACTTGGTAATAAAGGGGCATAAGGGGCTACGTCCGGATCCTGACAGGACCTGCAGTTTCGGTTGAGGTTGGGCACTTTGGGCATGCAAGGCTTAAGTTTCGCAGGGTGTTGGGGATGAAATAAATAGCATGTCTCCAGCAGGATACTTGTAGCGATGTCCTTGCTTCAGGGTGTCTGCTGTTCTGGTGCCCGGTCTCGAAGGTTTCCAGTTTGTCGCACCCTTGCTTGGCAGTGCAATGTATGGGCACGGAGAAAGGGAATACCCTTCCTTACGGAAAGTTCTTGTTAGATACCCAAAGCCCCGGTCTTCTTATCTCCATATACGAGTTTACGGTCAGCCACTTCTACTGACTTAACGTGTTACGGTGTTACAGTACTGGTTTCGGTACAAGCCCGAAGGGCTGAGACTCCTGGCCTGTTCTGGCTCAAGCGCAAGGACCGGAGTTTCGTCAGGTTCCCCAGCGGCACCAGACTTCCGAACAACCGGTTTCCACGCCTGAGACAGCAAGGCGAAGAGGTCAACAAATCCGAAAGCTAAGCTTATACAAAAAATGCGTGTAGCACTGCAAGCCCGTCCTTTGCTTAAGACCTCTGGAATTCCTCTTCAATTCAGAAGTTTCGGCATCGTTGCGTCAGAGCCCTGGTCTCTGATTGTGCACCCATGGGCGTTTTTTCAACAATCGGTGTTTGTAGAGATCACATTTGGTCAGGTACCAGCCTGACATGAGCAAGACAACTTGCAGGGTTTGGGGGGTTTCAAAGGTTTGACTTAATCGTTGTTTAGTGGGTCCTCATAACCTCAAAACCTTGCGCAGGCCCCGTGGCCATGGACCTCAACCCTTCTGACAGGGGCATGTTCACGCAAGGAAGTATATCTAGACAGACAAATAGCTTCACGTAATCATTTCGTAGATGCAGAGCCACACTACATGCTTCAAGAACTCGACCGAAGAAAACCCAATGCGCTCACCAAAACCGAAAGGCCTAGAGGCCTAGATTCTTTATCGTTAATGAGGCCAAAGAAAACCCTGTGCTCTCACAAACACCGATGACCCTAGATTCCTAATCCTAACACATCACATACTAGCAGAGCAAAAACACATGAACAGAGAAGTAAAGGAAGAACCAAACAATACATTGGCAGACTTGGCAAAGTGGCAACCCCAACATGCGGAGCTGGATCAGGTCGCCGAGCTCTTTCGGGAGCTCACCGGACAAGAGGTTGCCCTCTAGGTTCAGGACCTGTTTCAGCTGACTGCTTCTATGCTTTACCCGTTACCCGTCTACAGGTTCAACTGACTTGGGCCTCGAGGTCTCAGGATGGGCCCATGTTAGGGCCTATTCCAAGCTTCTGTGTTGAGACCGAACAATCGCAACTGCGACCTAACCATCTTCAGCTGAGGGGCATGTTCTCTTACCTTCAATAGGTGCCGTGAGCTGTAATGTGGCACTGAGTTGAATGGAAGCGCGTTCTATAGCGCATTTTGGCAGGGGCTACTTCCAAACACGGGCCATCTTTGGGGTGTCCTTTTTCTAGTATGTTTTTCACTTGCCCAGGCTATTTGTGGATGGGGTTCTCCCCGCGGTTTTTTGATCAACTTCAAGTAAGGCGGATAATTTGAGGTCTGAGTCTGAGATGTCTCGTTTAAAGATGTTCGGTTTCCAGGGTGTTGTAGCCGTTCATCTGGACTTTTATTGGCCTCATGCTGGGATTGCATGGTCTTGCAGACCTGTCTCAAAAGTTTAAGCAGCTTGAGCAAGGTCTTGGAAAGGGTTTTTTCAATCACCCTGAAGCCACACGCCCAACCCCCCCCCCCCCAACCCCGTAAACCTCTTTTCGACCCACACACTAAACCCACCCACGCCCTAAACTCCCAGTCGAAGCCAGAATTAGCAGTTAGTGACTTATCCTTACGGCGCCTATTTTTAAACACC